GAGAGCCCCCGAATCCTTTTCAAAAACAGTGCACCCCTCAGAGTAAAGCTTTTAGTAGGGTGACATTTTTTTCAGAGGACGTACCTTCCCACATATTGAATACTGTATTCTTGTCAAAACCCCAGAGTTGCAGATTCCAGCCATCGAGTTTCTGGAAAACATCTGCCATTGGATCTCAGAAACCCTTAGTCCCCAGAGCCCCTCAGTCAGGAAGATGTGGCTGCCTGTTGGGGAAATGGTGTCCCTTACCAGTCATCTTATTTCTGAATTCTGGCTCACAGACGGACAGACAGAGTGCACCCGGCTGTGGGAGACCCACGCCTTGGGGTGTCTCTCACCCCCCCTCTCCTGCGGCTCGCAGGCTTAGCGCACCCCGCTCTGTCGGGCTCCTGGCGGGGGGGCATCAGCCCAAGGCCGGAGTCCAGATCTGGAGAGCCCTCTGCCCCTGGGAGGAGCAGCTGTCAGGTTGGGGCGGGAAAGACCCCCGACCTGGTCACCGTGCTGCAGCACAGGTCGGGTGGTAGCCTCCACGGGGGTGGCCAGAGTGTCCCCCACAGCCCAGCCCGTGAGTCCCCCAGTTTGAAGGCCGCTGGGGGAGGTGCCGGTGCAGTAGCCCAGGAGGGCCTCTCTGGGCTGGACTCATTTGTTGGGACCCAGAGAGCGGGTGGAGCCCTCCTGTCACCTGTCTCTGGGTGAGGAGGAGCCGTCCAGGACAGCTGGGGAACTGCCCCTCCACGCGTGATCACGCTCATCCGTCCCAGGCGGCGGGCTGCGAGGGCTGGGCGAGCGTCAGGCCAGGAAGGCCAAGGCGTGCAGGGTCTCCCCGTACACAGAACTTAAGAAAAATCATCGCTTTATTGAGAGGTAATTCACAAAGCAGACAGTTCCATCCATTTAGAATGTGTAAAATTCAGTGGTTGCAGCCTATAGGCATGCCTGCTCTCAGCCTCAGAATCAGGAGTGGGAAGAAAGGGCCGCTCTCTTTCCTGTTAGAGGCTTCAAGGGCTGGGCCGGGGCGGGGGCGGGGACAGGGACCCACCAAGTGTCTCTGGAGGCCGCACTTCCTGTTAGAGAAGCAACCCAGCAGACGCCTCCTCCGTGGCCGGGCTGCGGGGTGTCCTCCGTCTCTCATGGGGTGGGGGCTTGGCTCTGGGGAAGCCCTTCTGCGGGCTGAGGAGTTGAAGGCTCCAGGCGCCCACCCTTCCAGGCAGCCAGAGGTTTTGTTTATTTATTATTTTTTTTGGCAAGTGCAGAACTTTCTTCTTTCCTTCTCCCCTACCCTAATCTCTGTTTCTCCTCTGGGGGTAGCAGCTGTATTGAGATAGAATCCACCCGCCAACCAGTTCTCCCACTTACAGCACACGATTTTTTTTAGCGAATTCAGAGTCCTGCAGCCTTCACCACAATCAACTTTGGAACATTCCCGTCACTCCATAAAGAAACCCAGACCTCTTAGCCTGCGGTGGCCTTCTGTGCCTGGCTTCTCTCGCTGAGCATCGTGTTCTCAGGGTCCATCCATGTTGTAGTGAGTGTCAGTGCTTCTCTCCCTTTCGTGGCTGAGTGATGTGCCCGTGTATGGAGGGACCAGTTTGTGTACCGTCATTTGTTGATGGACACTCGGGTTGTTTCCACCTTTTGGCTGTTGTGAATCATGCTGCTGTGAACATTTGTGTACAAGTTTTTGTGCGGACATATGTTTTCATTTCTCTTGGGTGTATACCTAGGAGTGGGATTGCTGGCTTGCGTGGTCAGTTCCATGTTTAACTTTTTGGGGGGCTGCCCCATTTTTACGTTCCCACCAGCTGGGAGTCAGGGTTCCAGTTTCTCACCGGCACTTGTTGTTATCTGCTTTCTCACTCTAGCCGCCCCAGTTGGGGGAGGTGTGCGTCACTCTAGATGTGCATTCCTCTGATGGCTGATCACCTCAAGCATCTTTTCATGTGCTTACTGGCCGTTTCAGTCTCCTCTTTGGAGAAATGTCTATTCAAGTCGTTGGCCCACTTTTTAATTGTGCTGCTTTTTACGTTGAAGTTGTTAGAACCTCGCATTTTGGGCATGGCACTGTCTGGTTAAGAGCACATTCCTTTTGTTATTTTTAAAGTATGTGCACGTCTGATTTTTATTTGCCCTCCTTCAAAAAATGTGTCAAGGGTTATGGAGTGTTGGGATTATAAACGATTTTAATTTTCTTCTTTATATTTACCTACTAAAAACTTTACTGCAACCAGCACAAATAAGACAAAAAAAAAAAAAAGCAAACCGCACATGATCCACTGCTGAGCTGAATCTGGATGACAGCGGTGGTTGGAGAAGCATATCATGCCAGGTGCAGTACAGGAAACTCTACCTGCTGTCGTATCACCTGCTTGCTCCCCCTGCCCCCCCCCATGGAAAAGCGCTCCTGCGGTTATGTTTAATGGGCGAGAGAACTCGTGTGGGCAGGACCCCGGGGCTGCCTCCCATCTGCCCAGGACAGGCTGGTCTTGGGGGAAGACGGGTGTCCTGCCCCACCTCATTTGCCACCAACAGTGCCTTGTGGGAGGCCAGGCAGCAGCATCCTTGGCAGGGTGTGCCTCTCTCGTGGTGACACAGCTGGCCTTGAGGGGGAGCCTGTGTCCTCCTCCCCTGCTGGGACCGGCCTGGTCAAGAGGAGAGTTGCTGTTGCAGGTGGTCCTGGTGCCCGTCACCCACAGCGGGTGGCGGTGTGTTGGGAGACTGGCATGGTCGCAGCAGAGCCGGGCTTCCAGGCACGTGCGACACCCCCTTGTGAACTGTGCAGAGTGGACACACCACCCACATAAAACGTGGAGAACAGGGCCGGGGCTGTTAAGTGCTGATGTGTCCGCCGCTTCCGAATCTGGGCACCATCCGTGGCGGGCTGCGGAGCTGGCCTCTGGCCCTTTGCCCGGCCGTCGGGGGCTTGGGACGAGGAGCTGAGACCTGGGTGATCGTGTTCCGGCTGCAGGCCTCAGAGGACAGGTTTGATGGCCGTGCAAGATGGGTGGGCGGCAGGGACCCCCTCCGCTGCTCTGTGTGGGCAGGGGTGGTGGGTACAGGGAATCTGGGCGGGTGGGGAGGTGGGGTTGACAGGACCGGGCGGCTCGGGTAGCAGGCACACGAGGAAGGCTGGCGAGCGATGGCTGCGGCCGGTCATCTGTCCTGTCCCCACTGTGTTCCGTCCCGGGTCCCTGCCCCGGGAGGCCTCCCTCCCTATGCGCCTGTGCCTCCCTTCACAGCCCTTAGCCCAGCTCAGGTCCACACCCATGTTCCCAGATCATCGGGTCGGGCCTGTCCCCCCAGGGCCTTGAGCTCCCTCAGGACACTGGAGGCCCCGTGTGAGCCCCGTGTGGCTGGGTCTGGGCTGGAGGGGAGAGGGCAGCTGGCTTCTGGGGGCTCAGGTGGGGAGTCAGGCGCTGGGCCCCGGCTGTGGAGTGGGGAGCGGGGAGGGGACGGCGTGGTGGTCCATCCCGAGGGCTGGTCAGCCTGGCCGCGGCCTGGGCCCTCTGGTGCCTGCTGGTCCGCAGGGGGGTTTGTGATGACCCTTCCCCTTTATAAACCCGTGTGACCTCGGTGGTTCCCTGTGATCCCCCTCAGAGCTGTTGTCACATGGTCCCGGGCACCCGTGGCCTGCCCTGTGGACCGCAGCTTCGGCTGCCCTGTGAGGAGGAGCGACAGAGGCTCCTGTGCACACAGGGCGGAGGGGCCCAGGGGTCCCAGCCCGGATGCAGTGGTGATCCCGTGTGTGCCAGGACCTCCGGGGTCCTCAGCAGTCCAGCCGTGAGTGTGACCTTCAGAGCGTGGCCTTAGCTGCCTACCCGCTGCCCTGTGCGCCCAGGCATGGGGTGGTTGAGGGCAGGACCTGGACCTGGTCTGGTATCCGCCTGGGCCTCCAGGTCTGTCGCAGGCAGCTGCCCGCCTCGGCTCTCGTTCCCGGGCTCGTGCTGCCCTCTAGCGCCCGCTGGGGGAGCGCCTTTGGGGAGCCAGTGGCTGCGTCTTGGCGACATGGACCCCCCCCCCCCACACACACACTCTCTACTTCCTGGACTGGCAGGCTTCCTGCCTTTCTCACTCTCCAGCTCACTTTGGGTTGGGGGGAGGTGGACTTGGTTAATTGTCCTCCAAGTTCTGGGTCTGTGTGCACTTGGGTTCTGACCTCTTTCCAGTCCTGGAGGGAGTCTGGTCTCCTCTTGTCCCAGCAGGGACCCTTCCCCAGAGTCTGTCCCCCAAGCCTCTTCCTCACTGGGGTGGGTCACCAGCCACCCCGCTAGGCCCCCCTAACTCTCGTAACTCTTGGGACGGGCGGGGGCCTCTTCAGCCTGCAGCCTTGTCCCTTAGAAGAGCCCGATCTCCGCCACGCTCTGTGCCACACTCTGTGCTGGATCAGCCAGGCGTGGTTATAGCCCAGGGTGACGCAGGGGGAAACGAGCCTCTCTGGCCGGACCTCCTATTCTCCTGGTTCCAGGTCCCGGCCTTGGGCGGCCCGTGGGTCACTGGGGCCTGGGTTCGCTGACAACAGCCGGGCCAGTACTGCAGGGACCCACACACTGCTCCCCTGCTTGTGGCGGCCCCGCCCGAGGGAGGGGTTCCCTACTAGTGAAACACACAGGACATCACTCACCTTCCCAGCCCCTCCTGTGCTTCTGCCTCTGGATTCCAGCTGTGAGGTCAATGCCAGTGAATCTGGATGAGGCCCTGATAAGAAAAGGTTTTATTTCCAAGGCCCCTTGTTTGAAATGTGTGCTCTGGCCTCCAGTATCGCATGGACTCTTAGAACGGGCTACCTCTGTTAGTAATTCGTTGCAGTCATTTGGTCTTTTGTGCCAGAGAGAGTGATGAAGTGGCCCCCAGGCTCCCCTTGGCCCTGCTCGGCTGCGCGGCCTCTGTCCTTGGGGCTGGGTGGTTTGGGTGCCTCCTGGGGAGAAGGGAACCGGCCCGTGGTGGTGATGGAGGTGCTGACGCTCTCTTGTCTCCCTTGCAGGTGTGGCCATCTCTTCGCTGCAGCCATGGGGTCCGAGGATCACGGGGCCCAGAACCCAAGTTGTAAAATCATGACGTTTCGCCCAACGATGGAGGAGTTTAAGGACTTCAACAAATACGTGGCCTACATCGAGTCCCAGGGGGCCCACCGGGCAGGCCTGGCCAAGGTGGGTGATGCCCCAGGCCCCCGTGCAGCTCTCCCCGGCCCCTGCCCTGTGCCTACCCAGGGGCAAGGGGCCTGAGAGGCACCCATTAATCTGCTCATTGAGCCCCTCTGACCTAATTTATCCATGAACATATGTTCTTTCCCCAAGTCAGGCACAGTTCTGGGTACCGGGGTCCCCCAGGGCGCTGATCCTGGGTGGGACACAGAGCATCATGGTGGGACCAGCAGCCGTCTCACCCCGTCAGGGAGGTCCCAGGGGAGTCAGTGCCGAGGAGGGCTTACTTTTTGCCTTTATATTCTTACTTAAACACATTTTTTTTGAGACTAATGCACGTATGAAGTGAGTTCAAGCATTGCGACAGGGTAGAAGGGAGAATGAGTTCCCCCTCCACCCACCCTGACCCCGGCTCCTCTGCCTGGAGCGGCCCGGCACTGATTCCTCGTGTCTCTTTTCACGGAGCATCACACACGGACGTGCATGTGCTTGTGTGCGTGTGTGAACACTGGCAGATAGCATGCCTGCCCACGCCTCTTCTGTGCGGGGAACAGACCTTGGGGATGGGTGCCGAGTTTCTTCATGTGCACGTGAACCTGTGTGTGTGAGGGCCCGCTCACCACATAATCTGGGAGATTTGTCACCTGCTTTAGGTTCTTCTAGTTGCTTCCTGTATGACCGGCACTTTATCTAATACCCGGCCCTCTATTATTTAAGCTGGGGTTCGCTAAGCCTTTTCTGCAAAGAGCCAGATAGTGAATATTTTCAGCTTCTTGGGCTGGACTGTCTGTGGCCACCACTCATCTCTGCGGCCGGGGATGACCCACAACCCCACAAGCATGGCTGTGAGCACGTGAAACCTGATTTATAGACACCGAAATGTGCATTTCATAGAATTTTCACCTGTCCTGAAACAGTCTTCGTTTGTTATTTTCCCTCAACCATTTAAAAATTTTAAAAAAGGAAGTCCCTGGTGGTCTAGTGGTGAGGGCTCTGCACTTTCACTGCCGAGGGCCTGGGTTCAATCCCTGGTCAGGGAACTAGGATCCCACAAGCCACGTGGGGTGGCCAAAATATAAATAAGTAAGTAAGTAAGTAAGTAAAATTTTTAAAAGTAAAAAAGAATTAAAAAAAATTTTTTTTTAAAATGAAAAAAAACCCAGAAAGAATGCCGGCGTCAGCTCCGTGGCTGGACGGAAGCAGGTGGTGGGTGGTATTGGGCCGCGGGTCACGGTGGTCTGTCCCCAGACGGTGTCTGCAGCGAGGGGACAGGTGTGCTGGCCTTCCTCTGCCCACCTCCCCTGCCGGGTTTGGTTGGCTGTGTGACATCCATGCCTTTAGTCTCAGCCGCGCAGATGCAGAGAGAGGTGGGCCTGCGACATCTTCCCTCGTCTCCCCTCTCCTTGGTTTTCGTTCCTTGGGCCCCATGACAGCACACACCCAGCAGAGCCTTCTCATCGGGGTCTGTGGCTCTGGAAGCCCCGGGCCTGGGTTCTTGCAGGTTCGGAGCCTCCCTTCTGGGCTGGACCGATTGGCTGGGGTCGGTTGTCAGGTGCCCCTTTCCCTCAGGTGCCGCAGCTGGGGGCAGTGTGGGGGACTCAGAGGGCTGGTGCCCGTGGGGCTGGACGTGGGGTGCCCCCCCTTCATCTGGAACGTGTCCTGTCCCTCACCTCATTCTGCGTTTGCCGGGACGCAGCGCCAGTTCTGTTTTTGGATCCAAGTTGTCCCCTGTGCCAGGAATCTTGGTAACCTCGTGGAGTGCTCCGTTGGCAGCACCTGCCACTTCCCCCGGCCCCTCTCCTTTCCCTCCTCTGTCACCTCTGGCTTCGGCTTCCGGGCTGTTTCCAGCACCTTCTGTCCCCGGGCTGCTTTGGGTGCAGCCTCATGTGGCATCACCGAGTCTCCCCTGCACGTCCTCACCCCGGCTCTGCTCCTTCCCTTTTCTTCTCCTTTGCTGGCTCCTGCCTTTCCTTTGAGCGCCATGCCTCTGCTTCTAAGCCTTTAATTCCTGTGGACCAGTTTTCTGCTATCTTACTTGGATCGACGGGAAACCATTCGGACTGGATGTTTTTGTGAGGCAGATGTTTTCAGGGCACATTTTCACTCTGCCCTTTGTTTTTCTTTTTGGCTGTGTTGGGTCTTCGTTGCTGCGTGCCGGCTTTCTCTAGTTGTGGTGAGCGGGGGCTACTCTTCGCTGAGGTGTGTGGGCTTCTTGTTGCGGTGGCTCCTCTTATTGCGGAGCACAGGCATGCGGGCTTCAGTAGTTGTGGCACGAGGGCTCAGTAGTTGTGGCGCACGGGCTTAGTTGCTCCGCAGCATGTGGGATCTTCCTGGACAAGGGCTCGAACCCGTGTCCCCTGCATTGGCAGGCGGATTCTTAACCACTGTGCCACCAGGGAAGTCCCCCTCTGCCCTTTGTTTGCCTGTTCCATTCCACTCTTCTTAAGTGGTATTTTCTTTGCTGTTTTCTCTCTGGCAAGGGCAATTCTCTCTGGAAGGGCACGGTGAGGGCGGGCAGGGGCTGCTGGGAGCAGCTCCCCCGCTGTCGCTGAGAGATCCTGTGGGGACAGTCACGCCGACACACACGCGTGCACCCACATCCCTGCTCCCGTCAGGCAGGGACGGCGTGTAGGTGCCTCTAGCCCCTTGGGGCCTCCCTGCTACTGTGGGGACAGACGGGTCCAGGGAGGCACGTGCCACGGCCCTCGGTGCCCCCAACTCCTTCCGACGCGGGCCGTCAGCCCTGAGGGCTGCCAGCCTCTTTGGAGAAGGGACACAGTGTCCTGCTGGCCTGAACGAGTTCTGTAGTCACTGGGGTCGCCCTCACCCTGGTCTCATCAGCCTTGACCGCCCTTCTGTGTGTGCGTGTGTGTGTGTGTGTGTGTGTGTGTGTGTCTGTGTGGTGTTGAGGTTTCTTTTTTCATCAAAGCTACATTTGATAGTCCCCCGACAAAAGCTCTGTCGGGCCTGGGGCAGCTAGATCGGGGTGGGCACTCAGCAGGCACGGCTGGGCCGGGGCCCGGAGCTGAGGGGGCTCTGGGTACGGGGGCTCCCACCCTGGGGCCATCGGGGTGGTAGGTCACATTCCTCACCCACTCTGAGTGTGCTCTGGGACCAGTGTCCAGCTGGGCTCCTTCCCCCTCAGGCTGCTTGGGAAGGGCTGGGGGAGGGAGGGAACCAGGAAGGGGCATGGCTTAGGGTCCTGGGGAGGGGTCAAGGGGCGTCAGTGCCCTCAGTGCCCTGCAGCCAGGCGGTGGCCTGGCTCTTCTTAGCCTCCAGGCCTGCTGCCAGCAGAATGGCTTTAGGTCCAGCTGCTTCTGGGGGGCAGAGGCTGGCCCCTCACTTCCTTCCCTTTAGAAGTGTCTCCCACACCTGCCCCAGCTGCCTGCCAAGCTGGCCACATCCCTGGTGTCACGCCGTTCCCTTGGGTGTGTGGCCTCTCGGTCCTCCTGGCCTTGGCTGAGTCTTGCCCCCCATCAGCTTCGAGTCAGGGTCCGTCCGGGGCCACGCAGTTGGGATGCTCACGGGCCTTTAGGGGACGTCCTTCAGGTGTCCTCTGCTTGGAGAGCCTCCTTTCAAATCCTGCTCTGCAGAGACTTCAGGGTGTTAGACCGTGGTGCTTTACTGAGGGATTTTTCCAGAAGCTTCGGGTTCCAGACCAGTGGCCTTCTGTTCATGCGCCTTTCCAGAACCCGCTTAGCATGTACCTGGGAAAGTGTGGTTCACACGTGTGAGCCAGGTGTCGGGAGCGTCTGCCGGCTCCTCCCCAGTGTCCAGATGTCACACAGCAGATCCCCAGGGGACAGGACTGAGCCCGAGGCTCTCCCCTGAGAGCGGAGGGCTGAGGAGTGGTCCATTCATCCCGCAGCCTGGTTAGGGAGGCGTTTCTCCAATAGACTTGGGGCGGCGGAGCCGGTCCAGGGTCACTGCACTTTCCGCAGGAGGAAACTCAGGCTTTTCTGCACTGAGGAGGCGTCAGCCGCGTAGTTACAGAGCAGCCCGGGGTCCCAGATCCCTCCCCACAACGCGTTCCCTGCAAGGACGTCCCGCACCCTAGAGGATGGGCCCTCTTCTCCTTGTCTGTTTTTTTTTTTAAATACTCATTTATTTGGTTGCACCGGGTCTTAGTTGCAGCGTGGGCTCCGTAGTTGTGGCTTGCGAACTCTTAGTTGCAGCATGCACGTGGGATCTTAGTTCCCCGATCAGGGACCGAACCCAGGCCCCCTGCATTGGGAGCGTGGAGTCTTAACCACACTGCCACCAGGGAAGTCCCCCTCTCTTCTTTTTATTTTTTGCATTTCTAGCCTTGAGTGTTTTAGTTCATCACCTGACTCCTCAGATTTCTCACTGGGAATCTAACAAAACCGTCGACCGGCAGGCTGAGCCCAGCACCCTGTTGTCACGCCAGGCACCCATGGCATTGTGACTGAACAGCTGTGTCTTCTGGGAGGGGGCTCGTCCCCATCTAACTCTAAATGAGGGTCCTGCTGGCACTGCTGACATGGGGGCCAGGTCATTCTCTGGGGGGCCGTCTTGGGCGCTGTGGGGTGTGGAGCAGTCTCCCTGCCCCCACCCCATCGATGCCAGGAGGCCCCCCCAGTCCTGACAACCACAGACGTCCCCAGACAGGGCCCAGTGTCCGCCGTGGGGCGGGACTGCCCGGGTGAGGAGCGCTGACTTTCTCATCGTCACTGCTGTCGTTGTTACTGATTTATGTGGGTGGACACCCCCATGCGTGCTAGTCGTGGGTGGGCAGCACCCTTTTTTAGCAGGCAACTGGAGAGTCAGTGTTTCCATCGCCAAGCAAAACATTTCTTTGCACCCATGTGACAGCGGGATCCTGGGGATGGTGAGTGGACTTAGCCGCTCCCAAGCTGTCGGCAAACTCGGGCCTCAGCGCCGTGTGCTTCCCTGGTGGCCCTGAGCTGGGAGAGGGTTCGGCCCCCTCAGGGTGCGTGGCTGATGCACCAAAAATGGGTTGGTTTAGTTCCTTCTCCCAGAGCTGTTGGGTGGGTGGCCCACTGGACGCCCTGGAAGGTTTGGGGCTTGCAAACACCCACCTGGGCCCGTGGGGCTTGCACAGAGGTCACCCCTGATTGGTGGAGAGGAAACGTGGAGGGGGAGGTCCATCCCCATCCGTGGCACCCTCCGTGTCCCCTCCTGGGCTGGGGTGGGTGGGCCGGGGTGCCGCCACCTGCTGGGGGAGGGGCGTGGTGGCGCCTGCTGGGGTGGGGGCTGCAGTGTGACCTTCTCAGGCCTCCTCCCACTTGGAATTGTCATCCCCCACTGCCCGCCCCCCACCTCCTGCCTCTGGGCGGCTCGCCCAGCCCCGCTTTATCCTTATTACTGTCCTACAATTTCCTTCTTCTCGCCGGGATTTATCACCTGCGCCCTCCAGTCAGGACCCAGGCCCTCGCCTGAGTCCTTTGTGTCCCTGTGTCTCCCCACCACCTAGAGCTGCGATCGCCCCCAGTAGGTGTCACTGGAGCGAGGGCGCTGGAATGAGTGTGCACTGCGGCACCAGGGTCTCTGCTCTGGGGCCTCATCCGCGCGGAGTCCCGAGCCGGGCACGTGGTGGCCAGAGGGCGCGGTAGCAGAGCCCCCGGGACACAGCGAGTGCATCCCAGGCCGAGGGGCGCACACAGCCCAGCCTGCCCACCTCTGCTCACTCTGTGATCGCTCACGTCCTCTGGGGCTGCTCCCACCTCTCCAGGCCCTGGCCCCGTGCAGAGGCAGGCACAGCCCCCTACCCTGCCAGGTGGTGCCCAGATAGGCCTGGCCCCGGGTCTCCTGGGAGCTCGGTGACACAACAGGGGGTGCTAGGTGCCCCCAGGCTCTCCCTGCCCCTCACCCAGTCCCAAGCGGCCGAGCCCAGGGGAGGCGCCACTGACCACCCTCCCGCTCCGTCTCGCAGATCATCCCCCCGAAGGAGTGGAAGCCACGGCAGACGTACGACGACATTGACGACGTGGTCATCCCGGCGCCCATCCAGCAGGTGGTGACGGGCCAGTCGGGCCTCTTCACGCAGTATAACATCCAGAAGAAGGCCATGACGGTTGGGGAGTACCGGCGCCTGGCCAACAGCGAGAAGTACGCGGGCCTGGGTGGCGTGGCGGGCTAAACGCCAGCTCGGGGTGCGGAGGGTGGGGTGCACGCAGCCCCCAACAAGCCCGCTCTCTGTGCCCTGGGTGGGCCTCAGCACCCCCAGTTCACAGTCCCCCGGTTCTTAGGGGCAAAATCCAGACCCTCACCCGACCCAGGGCCGCACTGTCCACCTCACACTGCCCTCAGCGCTGGCTGCAGGGCCGGCCCTTCAGGACCTGCCCGTGTCCCCTGTCCCCGGTGCGCCTCCCCCACCAGGACGTCTCGGCTCTGACAGCACCTCCCCAGAGAGGGGCTTCCTGGCACGTCTCCCCAAGTGCCTGGTTCGCCATGGCGCACTTGGGCATGCGCACACACTCCTGGGATCTCACGGGTGCATCGTGGGCACTCACAGCACGTGGGCATGCTCCCTGGCACACAGCACCACTGTTCGCTCCCCCTGTTCTGCGGAGCTCCCCCCGCCCCCGCTCAGTCGCTGAAGTCTTCTGTGCGTCTCTGGCAGTCTCTTTGCTCTCAAACAAGCGTCCTGTGAGGGCAGGCGTGGTCTGTCCCCTCATGCGCTGTCCCTGGCCACCACGGTGCCTGTCAGTGTCTGCAGGGTGGTAGGAGGACAAGAACTGTCAAAACCCAGGTCCCTCCTCCAGCTCCCGTGGCCCTGGCGTGGGGTCTGACCTGGGGGCCCCGGGCCCTGATAGCTGGCGAGACGGGACCCCTGGGTACCGTTCCAGGCAGGGCTGCCCCCCCGCCGTTCATCCACCTCACCGCCTGGCAGTCACCACAGCTCATCTGTGGGCTCCGGGGCCGTGCCCTTGCCGGGAGGGCGGGTATCTGAGCGGAGCCCCTCCCTTGGTGTGTCTGGCAGGTGTCCTGAGCCCCACATGCTCGGTTTGTCCCCAGGTACTGCACCCCCCGGCACCAGGACTTCGATGACCTGGAGCGCAAGTACTGGAAGAACCTCACCTTCGTGTCGCCCATCTATGGGGCTGACATCAGTGGCTCCTTGTATGATGACGTAAGTACTGAGGCCCCTAGGCATCCCGGTGGATGTGGAGGTGTGGAGGGGGGCGAGCGGGCTCCACTTTGGACCACAGAGGCTGGGATGACACGGAACGCTCCACGGGGCCTTCTTTTTGGGCTCTGGTTTCAGGCATGTGCCAGCTTAGGATGAAAGGAAGAAGCCAGAGGTTTGCAGAATCTTCCCTGCCAGGTCATGGTGCTGCCCCTGCCCCGATCCCACGCTCAGCCGCTGACCTAGCGGCCCGGCCACAAAGCGGTTCTGAAAAGATGACATCGAGCGTTCCATCCCTTCTCCCAGGGGCCTCTCTAAATTCTCGGGTGTTTGAGTGCTTTTCTTCTCAAGTTTCTGTCACTCCATCATCCTGGAAACCTGGGAGCCCAAGTTCTCAGCCGTCCAGGCCACCCCTGGGTCCACTCACGTCCAGTCCCTTTGCTGGGCTGGGAGGGCCCTGCTCCTCGGCCTTTGGGCCTCTGCCGCCCGCGGCCTGTCCAAGGGCGAGACAGGCCCTGGTCGAGGCTTGATGCTGAGGTCCCCGAGGGTGCTGGCATCAAGCAGAGGGAGGTTTGAGTGGGATCGTGTTTTGGGGGGGACAATTTATAAATATTTATGGGACCTCGGATAACCCTGGGATGGATCTACCGGGGTTAATTTCAAAGCTCTGAAGCCTGACTCTCTCCTGGGTGTGTTCTGCACGGGGTACCCTGGGCTAGGATCTGGCCCTCTCCACTCCCCGGGGGCCCCCTCTGCCTCCCTGCGTGCTCCCCCCGGTTGTTCCTCTGAAGGTCATCTGGGGGGAAGACTCTTGTCCGCTCAGCCCTTCTCCCCTGAGGGCAGCTGCCACCTGTTCTTGGGTAGCGGGGAGGTGGGGGCAGGAATAAAGTCCCCTCCTGAGAAGGGTTGGGACCCTCCTTGGCGCCCAGGGGAGGAGCGTGTTAGAACAGGCGGCTTGTGATTCCCAAAAGGCGTGGGAAACACACGACTGCCGCTCAGGTCCCAACACGGATCGCTGCCAGTGTTTCGCTTCACGGAGCCCAGCTGACCTGGGCCCGGACCTTCCACTAGTGGGTCCGCTTTGTGGTGCATGGTGCCGAGGGCGTTAGTTTGTTACCTGGAAGATGCGTCAAGTCAAGCTCGAAGTGAGCTCACCCACTGCCCCCAGAACCACAGGGAGACGCTCTCGCCCCGGGGGTCCAGACCGAGTTTGCCCCTGTCCTGCTTCCTCCTTCCTGGGCTTCGGTTTCCCCATCAATAACATGGGGCCTGGCGGGCGCATGGCAGTCCTTCAGTGGGCGTGTCCTGGACCCTGAGCTCACACTCTTGGCCTTGATCCCAAAGGGTCAGATGACGTGCAAGGCCAGGCCTTCGCCCAGCGAGCACGCAGCCCCTGGGAGCAGGGCTGCACCTGCTCGGAGGACGTGGCCCCAGAGGCCCTGTCGCACGCTCTGCAGCCCAGGTCCCTAACCGTCGACTCGCACCGGCACTGGCACCGGCACCCGCACCCGGGTGGGTGCACCTCCCCCATCTCCCGGCTCCACACCTCTGAATGCCAGGATTGGTCACCTTGTTCGTGGCAGGTTTTGTGGTTACACAGCTGTGTTTTAGCACCGTGGGCCAGCTCGCTCTTGGGCCAGTGCAGAAGTTCCTGGGTCGGGTTGACGGGGGCCTGGCGGGGCTGTGGCCCCAGGGCTTTTTGGGGCCTGTTGGGGCCTGTCTATTGCTCCCCCTGCTTCTCTGCTTTCTTCGAGGGCCTCCAGGCCCGGGGAGAGGGGCCAACCTCCAGGGCCCCCATTTCCCACGCCAGGCCGCCGAGGCCTGGACCACCCTCCCTGGCAGCCCAGGATCAGTGCTGGGCCTCCAACCCTCTCCGGTTTCATTGTGTTCGCGGCTCCTCCTGGAAGCTGCTCGGGCAGGAGGACCGCGGTGCGTGTCCCCGGGGACACGTCTGGTCTCTGAACACGAGGAGGGCTGTTTCCCCTGGGCCTCTGCAGGCAGGGCCTGGCGCGGTCCCGGGCAGGAAGGCACCTCTGTTCTTTTTTTTAAATTTAATTTAATTTACTTATTTTTGGCTGCGTTGGGTCTTCGTTGCTGCACACGGGCTTTCTCTAGTTGAGGCGAGCGGGGGCTACTCATGGTTTTGGTGCGTGGGCTTCTCATTGCGGTGGATTCTCATTGTGGAGCATGGGCTCTAGGTGTGCAGGCTTCAGCAGTTGCAGCATGTGGGCTCAGTAGTTGCAACACACAGGCTCAGTAGTTGTGGCTTGCAGGCTCAGTAGTTGCAGCTTGCGGGCTCTAGAGCACAGGCTCAGTAGTTGTGGTGCACTGGCTTCGTTGCCCCAAGGCTTGTGGGATCTTCCCAGACCACGGCTCGAACCTGTGTCCCCTGCATTTTCAGGCGGATTCTTAACCCCTGGGCCACCAGGGAAGTCCCGCGCCTCTGTTCTTTAAACACCATGTTTAGTCCTTAGAGCAACCGGGCGATTTCCCTGCAACTCCCAAGTGGGGACGACGAGGCTCCGTGGATGGGAAACTTGCTGAGTCCCACTCTCTGTGATCAGTCCCAAGCAGGTGTTAGGAATCTAGGCTGTCTGACCGGTGGCCCCAGCTGGCTATGCCCTGTGACCTCGGCCAGCTGTCCTCTTGACTTGGCCACAGTGTGGACCTTGGTGCCTGGGGGTTGGTGTTGCCCAGCTCCTCCCGCCAGCCCGATCCCAGCTTGCGGCTCTGCTGCTCGGTTTATGGATCGTGACTTCTTGGAAGGGAATTAGATCCCAGCAGCCTGATGGGATGGAATAACTGAAGTTCATGTGCTCGTGTACAGGTGGACATGGAGTCAGACGCCTGATTGTCAGATGACCTGTCCTTTTCCATGTAGAGTTTTGGAAAGTTAGTGCTAGTTGGATTCATTTTATTTATTTGTTGATTATCAGACCTACTGGGTTTTTTTTTTTTTAAGCATTATTGAGATATAATTCACATACCACACAATTTGCCCATTTAAAGCGTGTAATTCAGTGTTTTTTTGTATATTCACGGAGTTGTGCAGCCATCACCACAGTCAATTTTAGAACATTCTTACCATCCCCAAAAGAAGCCCCATCCCCGTTAGCAGTCACTCCCATCCCCCTCCTCAGTCCCTGACAATGACGAACCCACTGTCTGTCTCTGTGGATTTGCCTGTTCTGGACGTTTCATATGAATGGAATCAGACACATTCCTTCTGTGTCTGGCTTTCTCACTGAGCAAGCATTGTGTTCTCAGGGTCCACCCACGTTGTAGTGAGTATCAGTGCTTCTCTCCTTTCCGTGGCCAAATAATACGCCACTGTACGGATGGACCATATATTCTTTATCCATTCACCAGTTGATGGGCATTTGGATCGTTTCTACTTTTTAGCTATTAGCAATAATGTTGCTCTGAATATTCACGTACAAGTCTGTGTGTGGACATGTGTTTTCATTTCTCTTGGACGGCTACCCAGGGGCGAATTGCAGGTCACATGGTAACTCCACGTTTAACTTTTTGAGGACTGCCAGACTTTCTTTCAAAGCAGTTGCCCCATTTTCCATTTCTGCCAGGCAAGCCTGAGGGTTCTGATCTTTGCGTATCCTCAGGCACACCTGTTATATTCGGCCATCCTGGCGGGTGGCAAGTAGCATCTCATTGTAGCTTTGATTTGCGTTTCCTGGTGGGAATGATGTCGAGGGTCTTTTCATGCGCTGATTGACCATTTGCATATCTTCTTTGGAGAAATGTCTATTCAGATCTTCTGCCCACATTTAATTGGGTTATTTGTCTTCTCATTATCGAGTCGTAAGAATTCTTCATGCATTCAGGGTACAAGTCCCTCACTTGATAAATGATTTGTGAGTATTTTCTCCCGTTCTGAGGGTTGTCTTTTTACCTTCTTGGTTGTGTTCTTTGAAGAGCGGCAGTTTTTATTTTAATAAAGTCCAATTTTTCTGTTATTTTTTCTTTTATTTCTTGTGCTGTGGGTGTCTTATTTAAGAGAATCCTTTGCCAATTCCAAGGTCGTGAAGATTTGCCCCTATGTTTTCTTCGAAGAATTTTATAATTTTTGGCTCTTCCATTTAGGTCTATGATCCGTTTTGAGTTAGTTTTTTTATATGGTATGAAGAGGGAGTCCAAATTCATTCTTTTTCACGTGGACAGCCAGTTGTTCCAACGCTATTTATTGAGAAGGCTATTCTTTCCCCCACTGTGTAGTCTTGGTGCTAGGTGGGATCCTGAATAATAATAGTAATAATAATAATTGTTGTTAGTTTTAAATAGGTATCTTTTTTAGGGCAGTTTCAGATTCACGGCGCAATCGAGAGGAGGGTGCAGAGTCCCCATACGTGCTTTGCTCCCCTACGCCCTCAGCCTCGCTCTCTGTCAGCGTCCCCACCAGAGCTGTGCGTTTGCTACATTGATGCCTTGTCCGTGCGTTTGTTACATTGAGTCCCTTGTCTGGGACTCTGATCCCAGGGTCCGTAGTTGACTTTCAGGTTCACTCTTGGTGTCATATCTTCTATGGCTTTGGACAAGTGTATAATGGCAAGTATCCGCTATTATGGTGTCATACAGAATACTGTCACTGCCCTAAAAAGCCTCTGTGCTCCGGCCGTTCATCACTCCACGTCCCCCAAGCCCTGGCAGCCACTGATCTTTTTACTGTCTCCATAGTTTTGCCTTTTTCCAGTATGTCCTATAATTGGAACCATACAGTACATAATCCTTTCAGATTGGCTTTTTCCACTTAGTCATATGTAACATCTTACGGAAAAACCCAAACGAACTTTCTGGCCAACCCAATATTTACGGGTCCTCCGTGTCTTGTCATGGCTTGACAGCTCATGTCTTTTTGGATCTGAATAACATTCCATTGTCTGGATATATCGTGGTTTATTCTAACTGTTCACCTACTGAAGGACATCTTGGTTGCTTCCAAGATTGGGCAATTACGAATAAGGCTGCTGTAAACAGCCGTTGCAGATTTTTGTGTGGACATAAGTTTTCGTTCGGCTCCTTTGGGTAAATACCTAGGAGCGTAATTGCTGCAGCGTATGGTAAGAGTATGTTTAGTTTTGTAACCTGCCTTCCGGAGTGGCTGGAGCATTTTGCATTCCCACCAGCAGTGAATGAGAGTTCCTGTTGCTCTACATCCTCGCCAGCATTTGGTGTTGTCGGTATTCTGGATTTTGGCCATTCTTATCTGTGTGTGGTGGTACCTCATTGTGGTTTCGATATGCATTTCCCTGATGATGTGGAGCATCTGTTCATGTGCTGATTTGCCATCAGTGTATCTTCTTGGGTGAAGTGTCTGTTCAGGTCTTTGGCCCAGCTTTTATGTGGATTGTTTGCTTTCTCATTGTTGAGTTTTAAGAGTTCTTTGTATATTTTGGATAACAGTTGTTTATGTTTTACAAATATTTTCTCCAAGTCTGTGGTTTATATTCTCATTCTCTTGAGGACCCCAAATTTTGTTTTTAAATAAAAATTCAAAAATTGGAGGCTTGTCCCTTGAGAACCTCTGGGTTTGCTCTCAGGTGCTGCCAACGGTTGTAGTGATGGCCCCGCGAAGGGCTCCAAGGCCCAGTGCAGGCTCAGCGGGGCCGAGGCAAGGCTCAGTGGGTGAGCCTGCCCTGGGTTCTGGAAGAGGATTTGGGGCTTTGGCGCCATGTGTTTGCCGTGCCTGACCTAGTACAACAGTCTCCTTGTACTGAGGGGAAACTGAGGCCCAGAGCAGAGAATGACTTGGCCCATGATGAGTTATCGCCCAGCTTAGTCTAGACCCCTGGCCCCCTGTCCATGTGGGCTGGATGGGGGCAGGTGGCAAATGGACAGGGCTTTGGGGAGGCGACTGATTGCTGGTGCCCCCAGTCTTGGGCATCTTCTACTTGAGGCGACCCTGGGCTTCTCAAGCTCGCAGTGGGGGTCTGATCGTGGCCCTCCTCCGTGTCCTGGGCTCTGGCCACAGCTCACCTTGCAAAGGCCGACCTGCCAAGTCGGGCCTAAAACGTGGATGTGGTGGGTGGCACTGGGTGGATCTGGGGCATGAAGGAACGCTGCCGTGCACTCAGCATCTCAGCAGCCCCGAGGCTTCCCCGGGGACTGGAAGTCAACGAAAGCATGTTTTACGAGCTCTTATGACAAGACGGGGTTTGTTTGCTTGTGGCGTTAGGAATAGATGAGCCTGGTGGGTGGGGATCCCTCGCTCGTTTGCCTGGCTCTGAGTGCCGTCCCCGTCTCCACTGTGGGAAGGTGCGGGAAGGCCTGTCTGGCACGTCGCTGGGAGCCCCGCTCGGCATGTTCTTCCTCCTCTGTGTCACTGACTTCAAGGCACGTGAATTATTCACCACCAACCGTGGCCGCAACATGGCCTTCCCCGCCCATGATTCACGAACAGCTCAACGTGGGATCCAGGGGAAGCCTTGCCTGGCCGCCTGGCCCGGGGCAGGGGGCCTGTGCCTGTGGGGTGTGCACAGCCCAGGGTGGGTTTTGGACTCCTGGGGTGGGCGAGGCTCGGAAGCAGGCAGGTGTGGGGCAGAATGCTGTTTGGGCCCTGGGCAGGGGTCACACCGCGGCCCGGGCTCGGAGGGAATGACGCAGGTGTCTCACTGCCGGCGTCCGGGGGCGAGTGACGGTGGGGGAGGCTGGGGGCCGGGGTGGCCGGCAGGCTGACCGTGTGCTCGCCGCCATGCAGGACGTGGCCCAGTGGAACATCGGGAACCTGCGGACCATCCTGGACATGGTGGAGCGCGAGTGCGGCACCATCATCGAGGGCGTCAACACCCCCTACCTGTACTTCGGCATGTGGAAGACCACCTTCGCCTGGCACACGGAGGACATGGACCTGTACAGCATCAACTACCTGCACTTCGGGGAGCCCAAGTCCTGGTGAGGAGGGAGGCGGGGCTGCCCGATGGGCGGGGGTGGGGGGGAGGCCTTACACGTGGCTCCTGGGGCTGCACCTGGGGCTGTCGGGCAGGGCAGGCAGAGGTCGGGGTGGGGGGCTCCGCTGGCCCAGCCCCCGCTAGATGAGGGCACGCACGACCCCCAGAAACATGCTTACAGATTCCCGGAGCTTCTGGTTTGCGCTCAGAGCACCTTACACTGAACATGGCTGCTGCCAGGCTTCTGGTGACGCCTCCCAGGGCCGCGCTGTGCTGGGGGCTTTGGGGCCGCGGGCCTGGGGAGTGGGCGGCCTTGTGCCTGAGCCTCCCCTCGCCTCCCTCTTGGCCTCCAGATTGGGGGGGTGGGGTTATACGTTTGCAGGGTGTGGGCGGGCATGCTGGGCCCCCCAGGCTGGGTCAGATTACCAAGGCGGTCCTGTTCTGGAATCTCCCAGCTGAGCACTCCCCTGACACGCAGCTTCTGCCAGGTGGCCGGCAGGAGGCCGTTCTTTGTTCGCTGTGTTTCTAGCAGAGACTTCTGAGCTGGGGGCTTTGCATCGCCCTGCCTCTCCCCAGCTGTTAGAAGGTTCTGTTGTCACAATAATCATCGCGGCTCAGGGAAGCAGAGAGAGGTGCTCAAGAGCTCAGTCAGTGAACCCTCACCTTTGTACTGGGGGGGCCACCCAGCAGGGACCCAGACGGACCCTGGCCAAGGCGCCCCTACCTTGTCCTAACAGAGAGCTGAGCCCCACGTGGCTGAGCCTGTGCCTGCCGGCCTGGGGGAGGGCCCCCTACCCCCTTAAGTCAACAGGGACATTCTGGGGCCATTTGCTGAGGGGCAGGAGCAGGCCCTCTGAGCAGCGGACCCCGGGTGGGGTCTTCCCCCCGCCGTCGGCTGTGTGACCACCCTCTCCTCGCCTCTGCTGTGGACCGAGTGAAGCCCCTGCCCCGCTGTCTGGCAGCGGTTCCCACTCAGATGGGCAGGGAAGGCTGGGGACACGTGTGAGTTTCCCAGGGCTGCTGTAACAAAGGACTGCAGATCTGGTGGCTTTAACTCAGCTCACATTTGTTCTCTGACAGTTCTGGAGCCAGGAGGCTGACTCTGCCTCACGGGGCTAAATCCGGGTGTGGGCAGGGCTGGTCCTTCCAGAGGCTCCAGGGCAGCATCAGTTCCCGCCTCTTCCAGCTTCTAGAGGCGCCGCACCCCTGGCTCGCGGCCCCTCCTGCATCCTCACAGCCAGCAGCGCAGCATCTCCCGTCTCCTCTTATGAGGGACCCTGTGATGACACTGGGCTCCCCGGGGAATCCAGGGTCATCCCTGTCTCAGGGACCTTAACTTAATCCCTCCTGCAAAGTCCCCTTTGCCACGTGAGGTGATATGTCCACAGGTCTCGGGATTAGGCCGTGGCCATCTTTGGGGCCGTTATTCTGCTGGCCACAGGCCCTCTGGCCTTCGCGTGGTGCTACTTTGTGCGTTTGCTGGGATCCTGTTAAAATTCCACGGGCTTCCTGTTGTCAATCCACTCCTCCCCTTTTGTGGCCTTCTGTGGCTTTACGTGAGCCCTTGATCATTGGAACCTCTGGGTGCGGAAGTATTTGCCTTTGGGGAAAGATTTGGAGAGAGATTGGTATATTTGGTGATGGTGGTTGAACAAAGGCCTGAGCCTCACGCCTGCAGTGTGGTCCTGCGCACCGAGTGGAGGGGTTTCCTGGTCAGGGTGCCGTCCCCGAGCTGCCCAGGAGGCCCCAGTGACTGCGTGGCCGCCCCGTCCCCCTGACTCCCCACGGCAAGGCTGGGCCAGGACTGCATGGAGGCCCCAGTCCAGGCCTGGCGGGAGGGGCCCTTGCTCTGCACCAGGCCCACACCTGTGGGGTGCTTCCCTGGGGGCTCTGCCCACCGCTCCGCACAGCAGCGTCCTCCCCGTGGGCCTGGTAGGCTGAGTGCAGGTGAGCGGCCTTCGGGCTCCCCGTGCAGATGGATCCGCAGGCTGGGGCTGCATGCATGCATGTGAGGGTGTGTGTGTGTGTGTGTGTGTGTGTGTGTGTGTGTGTGAGTGTCCGAGGGGGTATGTGAGTATATGTTTCTGCGTATATGTATGTGTGTGTATATTTGTGTTTGTGAGTATATGTGTGTATACAAATGAGTGTGTCAGTGTGTATGAGTGTGTGTATACACGTGGGTGTGTGTGTCTGAGTATGCATATGAGCGTATGTATGTGTGTGTTGTATAAGTGTGTGTATGTGTCTCAGGTACCTATATGTGTGTATGAGTGTGTGTTAGGTATCTGTGTGTGTGTGTTGTGTGTGTGATGTATCTGTGTGTGTATGTTTGTCAGGTATCTATATGTCTGTATTGTGTATATAAGTCTGTGTATATGTGTGGATCAGGTACCAATGTGTGACGAGTGTCAGATATCTGTGTGTGTTGTGTGTGCGCGCGCGCGCACACTGCTGGGCCCAGCTCGCTGGCCTGGGCCGTGTCTCATGGGGTGGGGTGGTGGCGAGAGGGACGTCTGCCCAGGTCTCTTGAGTAGCCTTGTGCCAGTCCTGCCCCAGCGTGGCTCCCCCGAGGGCCGCTAGATGGCGCTCTCGCCCTTCCCTCTGGCTTGGCTCTGTGCGCTGCTGGAAATTTCCCAGGTTCTTTCATCCTTTGGTAGACTCCTCTGAGCGGCAGTGGCAGTGATATTCTGAAGGCCCCCTGGAACCAGCAGCAGGGGGAGATGGAGCCGCTGCCCTTGGGCGGTGGGAGCTCTTAGCCTTGGGTTTGGTCAGGGCCTCCCAGCCAGAGGGGTCCAAAGGGGAGAAAACCCACCTTTTCCTTAAAAAAAAAAGAAAGAAAGAAGAAAGAAAAAGTAAGCAAGCAGCCGCTGCTGGGTCCCCGCACTTGCTGGGCAAGGAAGGTTGAGCTTTCAGATGCAGGCCTGCCTGGGGATGGGGAGGCCTCGGGAGACTGGGGCCGTAGTGTGTTCTCTGGGGACACGTGGCCTGGGGGGTCAGGGAGGAGTGAGCAGCTGGGGGCCTCTGCGAAGCGGCTGGGATCGAGGGCGGATGGAAGAAAGTGGAACTGGGTTTGAGGAATGTCCCCCAGAGAGAGGGTGCTGGGAACATGAGGGCCAGCGGCCCCCGGGTGACAGGGCCGGTGCCTTGCTCCCCTCGCTTGCCTGTCCCCCAGGACAGCCTGCAGCACTCCTGCCCCCTGAGCTGCACCCCTCGTTTGCTCGGGTGGCCCCTGCTGTCCACCCACCGCCCGCCTCCCCCGCCCCACAGCCCGATTCCTGAGAGTGCTGGGGAATCAGCCAGAGGGGTCACATTGACCACAGTGGTGTTTCCTTACTGGAAGAACATTCCGGAAGGCACTTGACCTGGATCTCAGTTTCTGGTCCTGAAGTGGTGGGATTGCACGTGGGGGTCCCTCATGCTGCCCGAGTGAGGCCACAGGGGCTCCACACCACCTGCCCTGTCATCCCACCCCCGGTGCCTGGCCAGCTCAGCTGAGCCACCGTGCTGGAGCCCTTCCTGCTCTCTCCCCGGGACTGGGGTGGGGACCCCAGATGTTGGCAGGACACCCCATGCTCGTCCTTCAGAGTGACCATGTGCTGGCCGTGTCTGAGGTTGGTGTCAGTCTTTCCCTGCCAGACTCGGACCCCATGAGGGCAGGGCCCTCGGTGTCCCTCCCCCCGACCCAATGTCCCCATCACCAGCAGGGGCCTGGCACGGGGCGGGGATGGACGCTGTCAGGAGACCTGGACGCTGTCAGGAGACCGGGGTTCTGGGAGCACAGCGACCCCGTAGCCCCTGGGAGCCCCCGTGCACAGAGGTTTACATCGTGTGGAGGCCGCACTCCCTCTTGGATCAACGTGGACCTCTGCAGGGGTGGGGTGCAGGGGCTGGTGAGGTGTCCTCTTGTCCCTGGGCTGGGGGTGCAGGGAGCCGCTCAGGATCCCTGGGAAGGTGGTGCCCCTGCTCCCTGCCTTCCCCTGGACCCTGTGGGGCGGGGTTCTCCGGCAGATCCGTTCCCACGTCTGTCTCCCGAATTACACGGTGCTCTTGCGTCTGCAGTAGCTTGATCGCAACCGTTTCGGGGTATTTCAGTAGCACTTTTTTTTTTTTTTTTTGAAAGTGTCGACTTACTCAGGTTTACGGCATCTTCTGGAGCCTTTCTGGGTCTGTTGCTACTTTGGTGGTGTGATTTGTGTCAGAGTGACGCGCACAGCCTGGTGTCGATAACAGCGTGGAATTTGCTCCGAAAGGCCGGCATTGTGCGGCGCTCTCTGGCAGCCAGGCTAAGAATATCCGCAGCACGTGAGGGCTTCAGATCCCTTTGGAGACGGGGATTTAAAATAGACCCAGCCTTGCAGCGGCCCGGACAGTTGGTCATCGAGGCCAGGAGGTCGTGGGCCTGGGGAGGCAGACAGAGCAGCTCTGCCTGGTTCAGAGTACCTCCTCCCGCAGGGCCGGGCCTGGGTGCAGGGCACCGGGCTCAGCATCCAGAGGACTCCCTGGAGCCCGTGGGTGGCGCTGGGTCAGCCGTCCCGGGGCTGCTCCGTCTGCCGGGCCTCCCTCGATACCCACCCCTGGTACGGCCCCTTTGGGTCCCTGTGGGTAGCATGTCACCAGGAACTGTATCCGTAGATGAGTGTGTGACACACCCACCTGGGGTCGTTTCACGCTGTTGCCCAGATGCAGGGCTCCGTATCCACACGCAGCAACTGCTGTGTGCCCACATGCGGGTGGGTGGAGGACGTGCCACCAGAGGGCCCCAGGACGGGACAGACAGTGTTCCCTGCAGGAATTGTCTGGGCCGTGGCCTTGGCCGTCAGGCAGGTCCCGCAGTTGGTTTTCTCTCTGCTTCCCCAGCCCCTCCCGCCCTCTGGCTTCTGTTGGCCTTGTTGTCAGGTGCCCCGAGGCGGGGGCAGGGGAGAGGGTCTCTCGGATTGTCCTCCCACAAAGGGCACGGAGCCCCCCCTGGCTCGTGGATGGTCCTGGGGTGTGATGGGCAGATCC